TGCTTAAATCCGGGGTGGTCACATGCAAGGCAAACTCCCTACCTGCTGTACTTCCTCTCCCTCCTCTTTGCCCTTTCTTTCTTTTCTTTTCTCTTTTGGGTCACACACAGCAATGCTCAGGGGTTACTCCTGGCTCTGCACTCAGGGATCACTTCTGGAGGTACTCGGGGGACTATATGGGTTGCCGGGGATCGAACCCTGGGCAGCCTTGTGCCAGGCAAGCACCCTACCCACTGTACTATCGCTCAGGCCCCTTCCCTTTCTTTTTGAAAGATTCTGACACTGTCAAATCTTCTCCAATTACCACCCAAACTTCACAAAGTTAAAGGTATTTGTCGGGTGATGCAGTTAAGCTGGTTTCAGATAGTTCTGCTGCTGTGGCTTTGAATGGGTTCCTGTAACTGTTTCCTGCTTACTCATCTAAAAGGTTTAAGCTTGATGTGGTTTCTGTTTTTTTTTTTCCTGCTGTTCCTTCCTCCTCTCTTCTTTCATTTCTTTAATTTTTTTTTCCTCTTTCAGATTTTGGACTTTGGATGGTGCTGGGGGACCATGAGGTGCCACAGACCTAACCTGGGGCTCCTTTGGAGAGAGGGAGAGAGAGCTCATGCATTGCATGAAGGAGACCCAAGGTTTGTTTTTTTGTTATCGTTGTTTGAGGGCCCACACCCGGCGATGCTCAGGGGTTAACTCAGCTCTGCACTCAGGAATTACTCTGAGCAGTGCACCATATGGTGGTCGACATGGGGTGCTGGGGATCGAACCGGAGTTAAACGCATGCAAGGTGAACACCATCTCTCTAGCCCCTGTAGACCCAAGTTTGATCCCGAGTACTAACTGCATGCAGAAGCAACCTTCAAGAGCCTTTGATGTGTGACCCAAAAACCAAAACCAAACAAGCCAAAAAGCCCTCGAGGGGCTGGAGTGATAAAACATTGGGTAGGGAACTTTGTCTTATTCCCTCCATCCCTTAAGGTCCCTTAGAACCATCAGGAGTGATCTCTGAGCACAGAGTCAGGAGTAGCCCCCAAGCATTGTTGGGTGTATCCCCCAAAAACAAACAAACAAAAAAACTAAAACCAAAACCAAAACCAAAAAATGCCCTCGAGGGCCAGAATGATGGGGGGGGGGGGGGAGGGCTTTTGCCTTGCACGCAGCCAACTGGAGTTCAATCCCCAGCATCCCATTTGGTCCCCCAAGCTTCGCCAGGAGTAATTCCTGACTGCAGAGCCAGGAGTAATCCCTGAGCATTGCCGGGTATGACCCAAAACTTATATATATATATATACATACATAAAATCTTATGATTTATATATATATCTCATAACGTATTCGATATGCCAAACACAGTAACAACAAAGTCTCCAATGGAGACGTTACTGGGCCTGCTCGAGCAAATCGACGATCAACGGGAGGGCCTTTACCGTTACCTTTACCTATCTCATAGATCAAATCAAATCAGAGATTCTCAAAGATGGCTCCTCACTTTATTTATTTTGTTTATTTATTTATTTATTTATTTTTGCTTTTAGGGTCACACCCAGCGATGCTCAGGGTTTACTCCTGGCTTTGCACTTAGAAGTTACTCCTGGCGGTGCTCGGGGACCATATGGGATGCTGGGAATCGAACCCGGGTCAGCCATGTGCAAGGAAATGCCCTACCTGCTGTGCTGTCACTCCAGCTCCCGGCTCTTCGCTTTAAAAAAGCAGGTGCCAGGGCCAGAGAGGCAGGAGGAGGCTCTGGCACTGAGCTTCCTGGCACTGCCTATGATCTCCCGAGCCCACCAGCAATGACCTGAGCACAGAGCCAGGAGTCAGTACTGAGCAAAGCGCCAGGAATAAGTGCTGAGCATAGCTTAGCAGGGCCTAAACACAAATACAAAATAAACAATAAGGCACTCCAAAGAAGGCCTTTCACACTGCAGTGAAAGAAAAGGGGTGGGGTGAGGGGGAGAGCAGTAGTACAGAGGGAAGGGTTTTGGGTGTTTGCCTTGCACATGGCCGACCTGGGTTCGATCCCCGGCATCCCATATGGTTCTTCGAGCACCACCAGGAGTAATTCCTGAGTGCAGAGCCAGGAGTAGCCCCTAAGCATCGATGGGTGTGACCCACCCCCCAAAAAAAGCCCTCAAGCCTTGGAGTCTTTTTTTCTTTCTGTTCCTTAGAACACCAGGTTCTTTTCTTCCTGATTAACACATTTTCACAAGTAGTCACTGATTTTGACTCCCTAAGCTTAGATCACTATATTGAACTGAGAGAAAAAACAACAACAACAACAACAAAAATGTTCAAGCTGAGGCAGGACTGGAAACAGAGGCATGAGGTATTCAAGAACCTGCAGTTTGGGGGGGCTGGAGAGATAGTATAGAGGACTGGGTATTTTCCTTGGATGCGCTAGACCCGGGTTCAATTCCAAGGATCCCTTAGAGTACCCCAAGCATCTCCGGGAGTAATTCTAAGTGCAGAGTCAGGAGTCAGCCCTGAGTATGGGGTGTGACCCCAAAACTTTAAAAACAAAACAAAACAAAACAAATCCTGCATTTCTCCCTGATCTCATACAAGTAATAAAGGAGGCAGCAGAGCTATTTGAACTGCTAACCCTGCCAGCTCCCCCTGGGCCCGAGGCTGCTTGGGGACAGGACTGACCTGTCCCAGGAAGACCTCTCTGGTTTTCCTGGACCCGGGAACTGCAGAGTGAAGCGTTCAAACACTAAAATCAAGGAGGGGGCAGGTGGAACGGGTAATCCAGAGCCAGTTTATTTTTATTTATTTATTTTTTTTGCATTTTGGGTCACACCTGGCGATGCACAGGGGTTACTCCTGGCTCATGCACTCAGGAATTACTCCTGGCAGTACTTGGGGGACCATATGGGATGCTGGGAATCAAACCCAGGTCGGATGCGTGCAAGGCATACGCCCTACCCACTGTGCTATCACTCCAGCCCCAGTTTTGATAGTTTAAATGTAGTGTAACTATCTGTCAAGAAAGGAAGTAGACTTGGAGACTTTTTTGCTAAACTGTAGGTTGTTTGTTTTCCTTTTAACCACACCCTGGAGGTGCTCAGGACTCCATCCTGTGCTCAGGGTCACTCTTGACTGGTCTTGGGGGACCCTGAGTCAGAACCAGGCAAGGCAAGTTCTCAGCCCTGTACTATTGCTCGGGCCCCAAGACTTTCTTTATTATTTTTATTATTATTATTATTTTTTTGCCACACCAGCACTGTTCAGTGACTCTGTGGTCCAGAATCACTCTTGGAGGTGCTCAGGGGACCATATGGGGTGCTGGGGATCGAACCCCTGTTGCCTGTGTGCAAGGCAAGTGCCCTACCTGATCACTCTGACCCCGTTTATTATTTTTGGAGGGGGGCATACCAAGCAGTGCTCAGGGTTTACTCCTCGCTCTGTGCTCAGGGATCACTCTGGGAGGGACTTGGGAAACCATATGTGGTGCCAGGGATGGAGCCTGGGCCTGTGTGTGTGGCCTCTCCACTGTACCATCTCGATAGCCCTTGTCTATTTAAATTTTTTTTTTCTTCTGTGTGATGGTGGTAGTGGGCAGTTTGAGCCACATACTGGGGGTGCTCAGGGGCTGCTCCTGGCATAACTGGGGAGTCCCCATGCGGGCCCTGTTGTGTGCAGAGTGAATAGGGTGGGAGTACACAGGGCAGGGGATGGACAGGTCCCCCAGCCAGCAAAGCATTTGTGCATTAGCCCAGTTGCACCTTTTCATGGTGAGCAAGAGAGCTCAGAGTATATAGCAGCAGGAAGAGGATGATGCATCCTTACAGACTATTTGCAAAGTGGGACTTGGCGGCTGGAGAGATAGTACCCCTGCAGGAGGCTGAAGACCCAGGTTCCATCCCCAGCACCACATACAGTCCCCAGAGCCTGCCAGGAGTGAGTCCTGAGCATAGTTGGCCCTGACCCCCGAAACCAAGTAAATAAAGTGGGGCCTGGCTGCAGAGTTCAGTGAAGCCGAAATGTCGGGAGAAGCCGTGCCTGGGGAGAAAGAGAACTTGGGGAGAAAGGGCCACCAGGCTGAGGGGAAAATTAGAACCCAACACAACTCTCCATCATGAAGACCTTTGGAACACACACTATCTGGATCGTGGGAAATGGGGCTCTCGGTTTATCATAACTTCCCGGGCTAGGCTTGCAGTGCTCCTGGCCAAGCGGTGGTGGTGGTGGTGGGGTGGGGGGGATTCATGTGGCAAGTGGTGGCTTAGAGGCCAAAGGGCAGGGTGCAGGGGACACCTTTCCAGGGCATTTCCAGCGGAGGCGACCCTGCCTTCCCGGTGGACCCAGCGCCTCGATTTCTCCCGCATCAGACGGTACTTGATTGCTGAGCTCAGAAGCAAGGAGGGAGCCGGAGCGATGCTTGCTTGACTCGAGTTCGATCCCCGGCACCGCCCAGGCTCCCTGAGCCCCGCCAGAAGTGATCCCGGAGCATCGCCGCCGGGTGTGGGCCCAAAACCAATAAATAAATAAATGCAGATTAAAGGAGAAGCCGCGAGACGCCCAGGATTCCTCCCGCTCTCGTCACCGTGGCTCGAGGTTCTTGCCCCCCTCGACCTGTGCAGGACCAGGTGGCGGGGCTCTCGGGGAAACCGCACCGGGGAAAGGCCGCCAGGGACCCCGCGGGGCTGGAGCGGGTGTTTGCTAATCCGGGAAAAAAAAAACGGGCAGGCACGGAGACCCCAGCGCCTGGACCTCGCCGAGCTCCAGCCCTCCTGCCGCGGTCTGCCACCAGCCCCGAGCCCCGCAGACCCTGCCGAGCGAGGCCGGAGGGAGGGTGGGCCGGGGGCTGGGCCCGCGCGTGCGCAAACTGTCAGACAGACCCCGCCCCCATGAAGCCCCGCCCATAGCCCGCCCAACCCCGATAGGCTCCGCCCCGGAGCAGGCCCCTCCCCTCCCCGGCAGGCCCCGCCCGATAGGCCCCGCCCACCCGCCCACCCTGACCCCGCCCCCTCGTGGCCCCGCCCCGAAGGCCCCGCCCCTGGCTCCCGGGCGTGGGGCGGGCGGCGCTGCGGCGGCCGCGGCGGCTGCTTCCTCGGGCCATTTTGCGGAGCTGCGACCCGGCGGAGGAACGCGGGGAGCCCCGAGACCCCGGGCGCGGGGCGGCGAGCCGGAGGAGGCGGCTCTCCTCGACCGCGGGGAGCTCGAGGCGCCAGAGGCTGCCGGCGAGGGGGAGCGGAGAGCCGCGCCCGGCGCGCGGCGCGCCCCGCTCCCGCCCCCTGCACCATGAGCTGGGGCACCGAGCTCTGGGTGAGTGGGGGGCCGGGCCCGGCGCAGCCTCCGCCCTCGGGGCCGCGTGGGGGGCCGGGGGCCGGCGAGGTCGCGGAGGGCCCGGGTTTCCCGGGCCGCGCTGCTCCCCGGGGCGCCCGAGCGCGGCGGTCCCCGCGGAGCTGCCGGCCGGGCTCATCCCGGGGGCGGGGCGGCCCCGGGGGGGCGGCGCGGCCCCGGCTTGAGTTTTGGGGTGCAGGGGCGAGAAGTGGTGTCTTCCCCCTAGCGGCGGGGACCGTGCCCTGTGTGTGCCGGGGGCGCGCGCGGGACGTCGGTCGCTGTGCTGCTCGGCTCCTGGATGGGGCCAGGGACTGCGGCGTGGGGCCTGGCGGGGATCGGCGCGGGGACCCCCCGTGCCCCGAGTCCCCCGGGAAGAGGCCTCCGCGGGCCCAGGATTCTCTCCCCCGCGCCGAGAGAGTCCCTGGGCACGGGCAAGGCCGGGGTCCCCCCCCAACCCCGGGGCGCAGACGCGCCCGCCGTCCCCAAGGGGACCGACCTGGTGGTCTCGGAGCACCGGGGCGAACCGCGCTTGCCTGGGAGCAGAGGCGGGGGGCTGCGGGGGGCGCCGGACTCCCGGTCCCTCCGTGGACAGCGCAGTGTCCCGAGGCGGGGAGTGGGCGAGTCCGGGTCATTGCGCCCGAGTCCCCGAGGGCAGCTGGCCGTGAACTGGAACCTCGGCTGGGAAGGCTGGGAATTGGAATTGCGCCTGCTAACGGGTGAAGAGGGGAAAAGCGATTTTGTGCCGGTGTTGGGGGTGGGGTGAGGGGGGGATTGCCCTCTGAGCTGAGGCCCAGAAGTCTCAGGTCAAAAGAAAACAAGGTTACAGGCCGCCGGAGAGACATCCGCCAGCCTTGCCTTCATTTGCTTTTTTGGCGTTAATTTTTTTTTTTTTTACATAACCATTGCTTGGGTGCTGAATGCCCGGCTCGGCTCCCTTCAATGAAGAGAATCTTATGAATACTCAGTAATGGGACTTCCCAGTTCCTCTGGCTAATGCTCACTCCAGTGCATTAGAAGCAAAACAACCACCAGATGGGTTTAAAACAATATTTGCACACATCTCATTCTGCGAAGCTCTTCCCCTCTCACTAGGGTGAGTCCTCTGGGTTCTCTCCCCAGGCCCTTGGGCTTATTTGGGGTGCGGGAGCAAATGGGAAGTTCATTTTGATCAAGAGGATAGAAATTTGGGCTCCCCGGCCCCCTCCCCCCACATCACCTCACCCCTTCGAGGTCAAACACGCTGTATTGCTCAAGTGAAACAGTGACATTAAGGGGCAGTGGATGGTGCTTATCCAAAGGGAGCCCCGAAAATAATTCCCGCCGCCTGTGTTCTGTGCATGGGGTGGGAGAGAGATGGGGAGCGGTCCTCTGGAACTGGAGCTGGAGGCCACAAAGTGCCGTGGGACTTGGGATAGTTGGGGGGGGGGGGTCCGGGTATGGCATGGGCGGGTGGTGCCTAGCTACTGGCCCTGCGGGCAGCGCCCTGGGCTGCAGCTGTGGGAGTGGATCTCCCAGGGAGGGGCACGGAGACTCCCGGGCATTGTTTTCCTCTGAGGGTGCGTGAGCAGAAGTGAGTGGTGCAGAGCTGGAGAGAGAGAGAGAGAGAGAGAGAGAGAGAGAGAGAGAGAGAGCGCAGTGGGGAGGGCCCTGGCCTCGAACGCGGCCCACCCAGGTTCCTTCCCTGGCATCCCGTGTGGTCCTCTGAGCCCCGCCTGGAGTGAAGCCTGAGTGCAGACCAGGAGTAACCCCTGAGCACTGTCAAGTGTGAATTCCTCCCCCCTCAAAAAAAAAAAAACCCGGAAAATAAACTCAGTGGGCAGCTCATCACAGCCGGACCTTTGCCAGGCAGTGACTTCTCCTTAGAGGGATGGGAAGGAGCCCAGAGTGACGATTCCCAGGGGGCGTGGTTTTTCTTTTGGGGGTTTTTGGGGCCACACCCAGAGGTGCTCAGGGATTACTCCTGACTCTGTACTCAGGAATCACTCCTGGCGGCCTTGGGGGACTTATACGGACTGGCGGGAATTGAACCCAGGTTGGACTCATGCAGAGTAAAAGCCCTCCCCGCTGGACTAAGCTTCAACCCCAGGTACATGAGTTTTCTTTTCTTTTATGGTGGTGCCCGGGGTGGAGCCCAGAAACTCACCCCTAGGAGGTGTAGGCTGTGCCCCTGAGCCTGCTCCAAACCTGCAGCTCTGACTGCGGGGGGGGGGGAGGAGGGGGTTGCTTGTTTTGGGGCCACAACTGGCTGTGCTCCGGGGTTATCCTAGATCTGAACTTGTTTCTGCGGATCGAACCCCGCTCATCTGTGTTCCTTCCCCCCTCTACTGTGGCTTCAGCCTCATGCCTGCATTTTCTTTCTTTCTTTCTTCCTTTTTTTTTTTTTATCGAATCACCATAAGATACAGTTACAAAGCTTTCATGTTTGAGTTTCAGCCATACAGTGATCCAACACCCATCCCTTCACCCCTGCACATCTTCCACCACCAATGTCCCCAGTATCCCCCCATCCCACCCCTCCCCCTGCCTCTATGGCAGACAGTTTCCCCTGCGTGCATTTTCTTTTCTTTCTTTCTTTTTTTTTTTTTTTTTTGCTTTTTGGGTCACACCCAGCGATGCTCAGGGGTTACTCCTGGCTCTTCACTCAGGAATTACTCCTGGCGGTGCTCGGGGGACCCTATGGGATGTTGGAAATCGAACCTGGTCGGGTACAAGCAAGGCAAATGTCCTACCCGCTGTGCTATCACTCTAGCCCTGTGTGCATTTTTTTAAGCAGAGGAGTGAAGGATTGTGCCCATGTACCACGTGCTCAGGTGGTGGGCTCCCGGGGTGTGGTGGGCTCTGTGTGTGTGTGTGTGTGTGTGTGTGTGTGTGTGTGTGTGTGGTGGGGCTCGGGGCACAGTGTGCGGCGTGCTGGGCCGCGGCCAGGCTGCTGATGGAGGGTTTGCTTGTGCAGTGGGTTCGGGATCATGCACGGGGTAATGAGGTAATGATGGGGTGCTCTGTCCTGGCTTGGCAGAGCCGTGCTCGGGGCTGGAGGGCACGCGCTCTGGTTTGGGGAGCTGCGCCTTGTCTGTAAGGAGGGCCCCTCGCGGCTCTCCTAGGTATTCCCAGACAGCACTTAGACGGACAGATGTTTTTTGGACTTGGGTCCAATCCAGAAAGGTAAAACTGCAGGTTTTCCAAATAATAACGGTGGGTCTGATGTCAAAATATTGAATGTGATCAAAGTAGAGAGAGAGTAATGTGGAAATCATCTGCCCCACTGGTAGGGGGAGGGTGTGGGATGGGGGTATACTGGGATTTTTGTGGGTGGAGAATGGGCACTGGTGAAGGTACGGGTGTTTCATTGTATGACCGAGACTTAAATCCAAAAGCTTTGTAACTGCTCTCACGGTGATTCAATAAATAAAATTTGAAAAATGAAAAAAAAAAGTAAGGTGGAGTTCATGCCCAATTCAATTAGCTAATCAGTGGCTGAATAAATAGCAGTACTCCTACATTAAAAAAAATGTGCAGGTTTTAGTGGGGAGGGTACTTGCCTTGTACTCAACCCAGGTTCGATCCCCAGCATCCCATAGGGTCCCCTGAGGACCACCAGTAAGTCATTCCTGAGTGCAGAACCGGGAGTAACTTGAACACCCCTGGGTGTGACTCCAAATGAAATACAATCAAAACTATAGGTTTTATGACTTCAAAGTCCTGGGGTACAGGCAGGAACCCTGGATTTGATCCCCAGCACCACGTTTAGTCCCCCAAGCACCCCTAGGTGTGGTTCATACCCCCACACCCCCATTAAAAAAATAAACCCTCTCGGGCTGGAGTGATAATACAGCCGGTACGCAGTTTGCCTTGCATGCGGTCAACCCGGGTTCGATTCCCAGCATTCCATATGGTCCCGCAGCACCGCCAGGGGTAATTCCTGAGTGCAGAGCCAGGAGGAACCCCTGTACATCGCTGGGTGTGACCCAAAAAAAAAAGCAAAAATAAAATAAAAAGAACTCCTAGCTTTCTAACCTGCAGTTTATATGAAAGACCTCTTAAACCACATCCTGTTTTGTGAGAGGTGTGAAATCCCTCCCCCCAACCCCGCTCTTCTTCCTCCCTCCCTCTGTCTGTCTGTCTCTCTGTCTCTCTCTGTCTCTCTCCCCCCACGCCCAGCCCCTGTCTGTAGGAGTAAGTTTTCATATTCTAAGATCTCTTAGCAGTCAGGAAGTATCAAGGAAGTTATATGAACATGGACTCAGCACAACTATCACATACTTGTAGTATTTCTACGGAATTCGTTTATATTTAAATCAGAGCTTTCTATTTTTGTGTCCGAAGATGACAGCCAAGTATAACCGCTTGCCTTTTCTTTTATTTGGTCGGGATTTGCTTTTGGTGCTCAGGCTGGAACCAGGCGCTCGGCGCTTCCCCAGGCACTGAGCTACAATGACAGGCCCTAAAGGGCTGATTTTGCTTGTTGGTTGATGTTTCTGGCTTTTGGGTCCCACGTACTAAGCAGTGCTGAGGGCTGACGCTCGGCTCTGTGCTTGGGCATCATTCCTGGTAGGGCTCTGTATGGGGGGTTGTCTGGGATTAAACCTGGGGCAGTTGTGTGCGAGGCAGATGTCTTAACCCGTGTACTGTCCTTCTGGTTGCCTCTAGAATTATTTTTTTTTATTTATTTTCATTTTGTTGGGGGGGTAGGGTCACACCCTACCGTGCTCTGGGCTTCCTCCTAATACTGCCTCAGGGATTGCTCCTGGGCAGCCGGCCTCAGAGATACTGGGGTGCGATCCCCAGCTTGGCCACTTGTAAGCCAAGTGCCTGGCCCGCTGTACTGTCTCTCCAGCCCTTAAAGGATTTTTAAAAAGTTATTTGATTTGTGGCTGGAGCGATAGCACAGCGGGTAGGGTGTTTGCCTTGCACGCAGCTGACCCGGGTTCGATCCACAGCATTCCATATGGTCCCCTGAGCACGTCCAGGAGTAATTCCTGAGT